TAGAGAAATGGAGGGTGTTATCTAGTAGATGTGAAGCACTTTGAGGTCCTCTGTTCCGTTTCACTGTATTATTTTATATCACGCAGCGCCACAGTTTACTGTATCTCTACTTTGGCTCACATCAGCAACTTTCCGATTGTGGAGCTCAGCTTTGCAGCTTGATTCTTGAGGCGCTTTGTGAAATGGAGTCTTGTTATATGAAGCTCGCTCGCAGCTCCGACTGCAACAAGAAAGGCATTTCTTTCTGTGGAGGACGAGGGCGGTAGCATGTCAAATTAAGTCCGGGCACCCACTGTCTGCCCTATAAGACAAACCGGTCCCTGTCCTCTCAATACAGCAATAATATAATGGTGCTGAAGTGATCTTTGTTCATGTATTATGGTATGTTGAGGCAAAAATAAAAGGGAGATTTCCATTGTGAGGATTGTATGGTTGTCACACAGCAGGGGGAGAGGGGGTTTGTGTACCACCTATTTCTGTGTACAATCTGCTTTGTTTTCTTAAAGACCGCATAAGAAACGTATTCACATTTGGACATGCAGGCAGACGTCATCTTTGTGTTTACTAAGCTGCTTTTTGTGGAGTGTTGACACACTGTATGTTCGTCAAACAAGGCTCCACGTACACTGTAGGCAACTGAGCGCTAAGATCACCACTTCTTACTTAAACTCAAAATGCTTTCAAGGAAAGGGAATCTTTAGGCATGTTGCAGAAATACTGCGAGCGACATAAGCCATCGTTTGCCAAAGTGGATTTACATTTCAATTTAAAGAAATCACACGCTCTTGTGTTATCTCTGCAAGCAAACATCAAATAGGACTCCAGTTTACTTGAGGTTCTCGAGTTCCCCACCGCTCGGCCCTCTTAAAGCCAGCCGTGCTCTCCCGTCATCCGCATAATCGAGTTGAACACTAGCATGGCTTTCTCATATCTAATGTAGGACCAGGCAGCCAGTCAGACGCTCACACAGCCGAGAGATCTGGGTCGAACAGCCCGACGATAAGACAGAAGGGGACGGCACGCAGTTTTGTTTCTTCCTTTTTGAATTTAACGCAGCCCCAGAAAACATCAATAATGTCAAAATGTGTTTGTTAGTGGAGCGGCCGTACTGCTACACAACGATCAATCCGGCTTTTCACAACAATTTAGTCTTCAGTTTTTTTTGCCTGCAGTCAGTTTGGACTGTCAGGCTGTGATAGAGAGGAAGGCTGCAAGGATCGATTGTTTTATGAAAAAAAATCTGAATACAGAACACAGACTGGATCCCCTGTGTGTACTGAATCATAAGCTTTATGTTCTTTAATAGTTACTGTAAAATAAACATGCTGGAACATATTGTGTAATATGACAATGTATGCTCCATTCCCAGTGTTCTGTTCTGAGGAAAAATGGTTCGACTTTCCCCAAACGCGACTTGGCCTCTTAAAAGATTTTACTTGGCTACAAGGGCTGTCAGATTCTCTATGAAAAGGGCCAGGGACATTTTGATTACATAAAAAGAAAAGGTATATTTAGGGCTGCGACTGACGATTACTCCCATCATTCCTTCCACAACCCAAAGACATTCGGCCCACTGTCATAGAAGACCAAACATCCCAGGAAATATTAACTCAGGTGAAGCCGAATTCAGAGCATCCGGACATTTTTCTTTAAAAAAAAAAGAAACTCATAACGATAGTTACCAACCAATCGGACAGCTGACAAACAGTGCTGGGCTCATGGTGTCGTGGTACCTGGAGAAGTGGGTAGACACATAAAAACAATACTGGCCCACAGTTGGGTGAGAACTACATAATTACATATTTTAACTGAAACGAGGAAAACCTAGGAAAATAGTTTCCTGCCTGGTGACATAGTAAAAATAAAAACTAAGGTTGTAACTAGTGAGTTTTTGGGGAAACTGTAACTGTAATTCATTACGCTACTCGTTAGTGGGATAGGTAATATTATTACTGTAATATTATTACTAGTAATGTGTTCCTGCCCGACACTGCTGGTAACCAACTGATCAACTGACTAATTCTTGCAGCTTTAAATAGAATATACTTGTTTAGGACAAGGTTTCTATACATTGTGCTTTAAAATACACCCAAAAGTAATAAATAAACTAAACTAAAAGTCTGTAAATATAGTCTTTTCTAAGTGTCCATGGTCCATTTATGCCATTGTTTGCATGATGCCTCTGCAGGGCTGTGGCTGCACCTTCCTTCATTATCAGTCCTATAAAGTCCTGAGTGAAGACAGATTCTGTCCCTGTGTGAAGCAGACGCTACACAACCAAACAGTCGTTCCATTAGTTTCAGACTGGGCTGAACAATTGTGTCAGAGATGGCGGTTTGGCTTCGTGACAAACTGAAGGAGCCTCGTTTCTCCACCCTCGTCTCGTCCGATCAATAAAAAAAGAATAGAAAAAGGAAAAGGTGCAGAGCAGAGTAGAGCGGAGCAGAAAATAGCCCTGTTCCAATATTCAACTCAGACAGAACGAGACTGCGAGCACCAAAATTTGATCAAATAAAGAGGCTGGACGCGCGACGGGTGATGGACGAGAATCACTGAAAACTCACGTCGCCCATCCTGTGCCAAGAACAACGCACAGTAGGTGATGTACACGGCTCAGAAATAGATGTGTCTTGTTGCACCTGGAGCACCGTTACCGTGGAAACAGACAACAACTCTTGGCTTGCAAGCAAGAAATATCAACACTTTTAGGGCCTCCATGCTCCGAAATAAGAAATATCTCAGAGGTAACACACACCAGTGCTGAACACTGAATACGGTTCATCATACTGGAGGAAGAACACTCTGAATATCGTACAGCTGTATATGAACACACAGTATGAACAGTGAAATATGAGAAGTTTGCTTCATATGTCATAATCACTTTTTATTCATATTTCAGTTTAAAGCTCCTGGAAACTTTGATTTTGGATCCAAAACATTTTTCAGTAACATTCAATAGTTCAATTCAATAATAATTCAGTAACAAATATAAAGCGAGGATAAAAACATCCATAATTATTATTTATAGAGCCTAACACAAACTGGTGACCCGCTCTATCAGGGCTGAGTGAGTGTGGTTTGATCAGATTTGATTGACAGTTGTTGTTGCCTGGTAACAGGAGCAAACAACCTCACAACTTGAATCTGATTCTGCTTTGAATACTGATTGTAATCAATGCATTGTGAGTGGTGTATTTACTCTTCACTTCCATTTCCAGCTCCTACAGTACGTCCACTCTGCTGGAGTTCAGAGGCAGATATTGTACTTTGAACTCCTCTGGGCTCTATTGAACAGCTTTAGTTACATGTTGCTGTGTAGCTTCATATGAGGGTTGCACGATATGGTAAAAAAGTCATATTGTAATTAGTTTGACAGATATTGTGCAGCTCTAGTTCATATTAATACTACAAAATATAATCAGAAAATCTCAAATATTACTAGAGATTTAAGAGCCACCCAGATGTTTATGAAGTGATTCATTTTTTTTACCAGCTGTAACATTAATGTGATGAACACATTGATGCATTAATAATTATAATCCTGTATATAATCTTAAATGAGCCAAATGATTACCTTTAATTCTTTTACTTAAGTAAACTTTTGAATGCAGAACTGTTACTTGTAACAGAGTATTTCTACACTGTGGTATCACTACCACAAATATACATAGTTTTATAAGAGTATCAAGGTGCCTGTGCAGTGTTAACAGATCTACATATGGGCTTATTTCAGTGAGTTAAAAATAAAGCAGATTACACTGCGTGCCTCATTATGGCCATCAGGCTGCATTAATAAAATGCTGGAATCAAATCTGCACCTGTTCTGTCCGCTGTGTCATCACGGTAAAACACCCAGGCTTTTATTTACCCGCCGTCCGGGAATGGTTGTTTTCAATCAGAGGAAGCAGTGTGTGTGTGTGTGTGTGTGTGTGTGCATGCATTCATTGGCGTCTGTGTGTGATGTGTCTGACCTATGGTTGACACACAACCTCTGCAGATGCCATCTATCACGCTTGTACCAATCTCAGAAGTTTGGACTGACACAGGCAGATATGTGTGTGTGTGTGTGTGTGTGTGTGTGTGCGTGTGTGTGTGCACGAGCTTGTGACTGTGTGTGTGTGTGAGAGACAGCAGTAAGTCTAAACAATCAATTTTCATTTAGGTTGGTTATAGTCAAAACATTTGAAATATAGGCAACAGCAGAACGGTGTATTTCTGAGGGAAAGCAAATCTACTGAGTATTAATGTAAGCTTGTGTTGGTTTTCAAGCCCCTGCCTTTGTGTTGAGTGCATCTGGTTGTAAATCCCTGACTTGTAACTCAAACAATTTAAAGGAGACAGCATTTACCTGAACAAACTGTAAAAAGCCCAGGGATCACAAACTACAAGAGATCTCACAACTCAATCTTGGGAAAACATGTGCTCTCATGCTGCCACCGAAGTTAGATTAATAAGGGTCCCAGACCTTCACTGGGCTCTGTACCAACAGCAACATTGCTACAAGTCTGGCTGAGGAGAGATCGGCTGCACTCTAGCCGGCAGCTGGCTGAGACATAATAGCCTTAATTTTCCACCAGGACTTGAGGCTGAAGTTAAACTAAACTGAACTTTGGGCCCAAATACGCTTTTGACTCAAGTAAAAAAAGATTCCTAGCACAGCAGACAATATGACAAGGTTAAAACATTTAATATTGTGACTGCTTACTTTACAAGTAATGTGTAACATCCCAGTTAGCTGCTTTGCAGGATTGAATTAACTACTTGACTTCATTCAACAAACTACTGTGGATAAGAAACTATAGCTGCGTTTCTAACCAACACTGTTGGTATAGTACCCTTGAAACCCATACCTGCTGTAAACCCTACCTGGACGTACCTAAACCCTCGATCTGTTATGCATTTCCACCACAGACAGTTAAATATAGGCAAGGTTGTTACCAGGGCTTTGGGACTAACCCTCTTTGATTTTCCAGCAGTTGGGAAACAGAGAGACTTTTCCAAGTATTGAGAAATTGCAGCAATTCTTAAGTGACACACTGTTACCTTTTTTTTACTTTTTGCCTTGGTCTTTGCTACGCACACAGGGACACAAGCGCAAGTGTGGGAAATCCTACATCAGAGCGCAGACAGCAAGACGACTCTGGCTGCTTTGAGTCTTTCGGACTCTGTGGTCTGCAGCGTTTCTAGCTCCACTTCACCATCCATGTTCAGTGAGTAGGTACCTCAACAGAAGGGGTAACGAAAATCTATGACAAAATTGAGAGTGGTTCTGTTGGTACCATATCCCACTCCTGGTAGATTGCTGACTATTACCGCCTACTCCCGCTATGTGCGTGTCCACTCCCAGCTGTAATCTTCTTCAATTTCATTTGTTGGCTCTAGCTCCATTTTTCTGGCAAACTAAATCTTGGGACCCCCAGTTTATTTTTTGCCCACCAGCTCTCACCTGCAGCAAAGTCAAAACTGCCTCCCCATGCAGTTCTCTAGTACCATCCACAACTTTTGACAATGGAAATGCCAAAATAACTAACTACGTTCTAATGTGTAACGAACTGAACCAAACTGCTTGGTGGAAACGGGGCTTACGTGCCGTTTTGCATTTAGTGGGAAAGTGGCGTCAGGGGCCAAAAGGCCCCAGGTAGTCTATGACTAAGTTCTTAATGCAGGCATAAGTGATCCAAATCTGATTTGTTTGCTCATATGTGATTCAGATTTGTTTTGTTTTTTTCAAGATAGTGTGAACAGCACAAAACACATGCAATCTGATCTTTTCAATACTAATTTGGGCCATTTTCATATGTGGTCCAAATCAGTTACAGGTCTGGTTCTTTGTAATGCGACCTCAGTGTGAACAGTCATATGAGAACTCACTCTAGAGCTACGTCATGTAGGTCACTTGAGGGCTGTGAGCTGTTCTCACTGAAACTGGATATGAGCTACATTAAAAAAATAATGTAAACAACGTAAAGAAATGTTTTCAAGAAAATCAGATCTGAGCAATAAATCAGAATTGAGTGCTAAGGCTTGCAGTGTGAACGTAGCCTATGTGTAATTCGAATAATTGCTAATTTGTTTGACAGTGGCTCCTTTATTTTTTTAACCTAATCTTGAGACTCTGTGGCAAACTTTAATGTATTTAACATTTTGGTTGATTTTGCAAATAACCGCCAAAATAAAGTCACTTTACACAGTTCTAGCCTTTACACTATACAGCCCAAACTCAAGGGTTTAAACAAGGGTGATGCAGTGTGTTGGTGTGTTGTAGATGCCGACCTGTTGGCGACTTGATCGAGGCTGATGTTTCTCTCTTCCAGCTCTCTGAACCCCGGGACTTCAACTATGAAGACATGTCCTCCTTCTGTCCCCAACAGTAGCAGCTCCCCCGAAGAGTGAGCCAGCACTGCCGTCACTCTGGTCACACTTGGAGGGGCACTGAGGTGGAGAGGAAGAGAGGGAAGTGAGATCACTTGGTGAAATGATGGGAAGCTACATTTTCTATAAAGTAGGGCTGCAACTAACGATTACTTTCATTATCTATCAATCTCCGACTATTTCCATAATCGTTTTATGAACCGTCAGAAAAATGCCCATTATAATTTCTCAGAGCCTGAGGAGATTGCACTCTGTTCTAGCCTGGAGGCTTTAATAGTCAGCTCCACCTTGAGTGATTGGGACTTTTGGGGGGAAGAAAGTACAGCCCAGAAACCACAACTGGATGAATATCATTTGGTTGAAATGTAGATAAAAGTCCCTTGAAAATGACCAGCTCATTGAGACGGGGGAAAATGTGAGTGTGTTTGTGTGTTTTACCCAGGTGGTCCAGTGAGAGTGAAGCGTCCTATCTCCAAAAGTTCAGAGAGTCCCTTGTGGGCTCTTAATGTCCACATGTGCAGACTGTTGTCGTCCAGCAGAGTCACCAGTTCAACCTAAACAAAAGCCACAGTCAACCAGTACTGTCCAAAAGGCTATTAAATGTCCCAGCAGGGACATAGTAGCAAGCAGGCAATATGGTGCCAAACAAAAGACGGTGCGCTCTATGATAAACAGGTCAAGATACTTTGAAAAGGTGATTTGCTGTTATAGTGTTATACCTGGTGGGGGAGGAAGTGCACCTGTGTGACGGCAGCATTCTCATCATGTAGACCCATGAACTCCACACCTGGAGCTCCATACCTGACCACTGGTCAAGGACACACTGGATTTGTGACAGACAGTCCTATCAGACATACTCACAACAAATGGGGAAGACATCGGCTATTGGTTGTTTTTTTGGGGGCGTATCCTTTAGCAGATTTTGTCATTTCGCCAATTTAATGCTTTGCCTCTGAAGAATGAGAGCTCGGCTCATCGACAGACACTGAACCAAATGAGTGGGAGGAGAAAGAGCTGTTTCACATCTAATTCTGTGAATTAAGGTTTTATTTCGACCAGTTTGATGACAGGGAACACTAACCTAGTCCCGACTGACTCTTGGGACACCAAAGACGGGACAGGAGTTAGAGGGAGGTTGGGTGAGCTATGATGAGTTAACATGGCATTTAAGCTGGTCTTGGTGAAAGAGAGAAACATAAATTCAGAATTTGCACGGTTGTATTTTTGTGTTTAATACAGAAAATAGGTGTTGGAGATTATTTTGTTTATTAAAAGCTGAGCAAGCTTGTAGTACACAGTAAACTTGCCACTAATTTCCCAGCTGAAACTATCACAATACGTCAACCATCTTTAAACCTAAAGATAGCTGGCTAACCTGCTAATGTGCTTTTGTCATACAGGCCCCAGGCTGACAGTGAGCAGGGAGTCTGTCCATAATTGTGGGGAACGGACACTTCCTACACAGTGTCAATGAGCAAACCACTGAAGCAGCTCTAGGGATGCTGCAGTGTATCTGACCGACTGCACTGTGGAGGAGGAACAACAACAACAGTAGGGACCATTAAGATCTATGGAGATTGATTGAAGTGTCACATTATTAAATAATTTGTGTGCTACATAACAACAACAGAAGCTGCTCTGTTTTTTGATTTGGTCTAAAGCATTCTGTGCGTTGAAAGATTTTCCTTTATCTGCGCTCTCTTGCTGTTCTATCCCTGAACAATATGCTGCATTGTATCAATGGATTATCCTAATGAGAGAAGGTACTGTGGTTATAAAATCCAGTGTGTGTCTCTGTGTCAGTGGGGAGAGTGTACCGACTGGCTCTGCTTCACTGTCAATGAGCAGAATTGTGTGAAAGGCTCCAGCGACACAGACTCCACTGTCTGAAAATGCCAGGCGACGTTGAGCAACAGCGTGGGAAAATGAAAATACCTGAAGCAGGTGTCTGTATGAACCGCAGACAAGGATTTAGCAGCGTCACAGAACCGTCATTAGAACCGCCTACATCAAGTTCAAACACGCCGCTCGGATTCCTCTCAGACAACAGATTTTACAAATACTACAGTATTTACACACAGGTAGAGTGAAGGATACAGTTTGATGGCCCCGGAGCGGGTGCCGATGGCCAGCAGCTGCAGGGTGGGACTGTAGCTGAGAGCGCTGGGCTGGTGGGGGAATCCATGCTCAACTGTCTGCAGAGGAGACAAGAGGACAGACAGGGGGAGGGTGAGACTGAGCTGTCACAGCAGAGATAATGACAGGATAGACACATGAGACTGCAGAAAACACCCCGCAGATAACAGCAGAAACAAGAAATAGGATGGATGACAGATAACAGACACTTAAATCCTGCCATATTGTGCTCCCCAAATGCATAAACTCTTTGTCAGACTTATAAAGCCCTGTGTAAAGCCTGATTTCCACTCCCACAGTTAGCCATAAACTGACACCAGTACACCAGTCTTTATACCGGTCAATAAAGAAAACCCACTGTCACACTGACATGGTTCTCCAACGGGGCAGGAGCTGCTGTCATTTTACATTAGCATTAGCCACAGCTGGGTCTATTTATAGCTTTGGAATGATTAATTCATCACATGATCATCAATGATTTAGTTTATAGCACTAAAATTCAAACTAACTTTGCAATGTTTTTTTTTTTTTTTACAATAAAAGGCCAAAATAAAAACCACATGCAATAATATAATGCAGAGAAAAAAAACACAAATGAACACACAATCTAAAAATTACACATAGCCATACACATCTAGTGAGATGAGCTAACAACCTTTATTTTTCATCTCTACCTCATAACAGAGGTAGCTTGCTCTTGAAAACTGTGTATTACGTATTATGTGTGTATGCATTATTTATACATTTAGCACCTGGATTGAGCAGTACTAGTAACTAGGGCTGCCCCCTAATTAGTCGAGCCACTTTCACTCATTAGTTGGACAGTTGCAAAAAACAAAAACAACGTCAAACAGGGAGCTGCACCTTGTCACCAGGACCAAAGAATCAGGGGACTGCTGCGACACAGACCTTTTTTCTTGTAACACAGGGAATCTGGTACGCTGTTGCATATGCTAACTGTACTAGCTGCTGCCACTAGCTAGTTAGTGGTTCTATTAGCTGTCTGTACCAGGACTGGGAGCTTGAAGGACAGGGGCAGTTCAAACACTACCAGGAGCAGGGGACCCAGTGGGGAATGCTGCCAATGAGCGGGGCCAGTACAGGTACAGCTCAAAAAATTTGAATATTGTGAAAAAGTTCAATATTTTGTGTCAATCATTTCAGAAAGTGAAACTCATATTATATA